CCGTAACGACGGCGTTGCCATGAGGTCACTGGGGGGCGGCTGCTGTGCCGATGATGTCACTGTGAGGTCACTGGGAAGGGGCTGCTGTGATGATGATGATGTCGCTGTGAGATCAATGGGTGACGACAGCTGCTGTGACAATGATGTTGCTGTGAGGTCTCCAGGTGGGGACTGCTGCGATGATGATAAAGTCACTGTGAGATCACCAGGTGGGGGCTGCCGTAGTGATGTCATTGCCGTGAGGTCGTCGGGTGGTGGCTGCCGTGATGATGACATCACCATGAGGTCATTGGGTGGTGCTTGCTGCAACGATGATGACATCGCTGTGGCATCACTGGGTGGCAGCTGCCATGATGACGATGGCGTTACTGTGAGGTCACCGGGTGGCAGCTGCTGTGATGTCAGGTGGCTGGACAGTCGTTTCCGTGACGACACTGGGGCCAGCAAGAGGTCAGAGGGCAGCCGTGGCCGTGGGAACACCAGCACCGGCGACGTCATCTCCAAGGCGTTTCTCGCTGATGTCAGCGCTGGGGGGGCAGGGCCTAGCTCAGGCTCCACCCCCGGGAGGTCCAGGACGGGGCTGAGGGACCGGTCAGGCGACCACTGCGGCGGGGAGACGTCCCCTGGGCTGGCGATGACGCCCTCCGACAGCAGCCATGACCTGCGGGGGGGGGGTAGGGTCACACAGAGGACCCAAATGTCCGGCCTCCCCCCACACCCCAGGGAACCCACGCGTCCAGTCCCCCCGTCCCCCCCAAAGAGCCCCGGTGCCCGGGCCCTGCCCACCTGAGGCTCTGGAAACTGGGCGACTCCCCCTCCGCAGCCGCCTCCCGCCCAGGCTCCTCGGGGTAGTCAGCAGAGGCAGCATCAGGCCCGTCCTCATCCTGCTCCTCCTCCACCTCCTCCCGCTTCTGCCGCCGACAGTTGGCATCCCCGGGTGGAGCACGGCCCTGGGCAGCCACCATGGCCACCAGCAGGGGCACAAGCCCCCCGGCCTCCAGGTCCTCCATTGCCTCGTGGTCATAGAAGAAGGCCACCAGGGCGCCCACCACGCGGCCGTGGCACCAGGCCTGGCACGGGTCCCGCAGCAGCGCCAGCATGGTCCCCAGCCCCCCAGCTGCCCGCACCCGGGCCCGGTTGACAGCCTCACGGCACAGCAGGCAGAGCGCCCGCACCAGGGCAGCGGGGGGGGGCCGGCGCTGTGCCACGGCGCTCACCACAGCCTCCACAGCACCGGCGCTGCCCAGAGCAGGGCCCAGCAAGCCCTGCAGACAGGCGTTGGCGAGGGCACCCAGCGCTGCGTCCTGGAGGGACTTCTTCTCGGCGCATGCCAGTGCAACGAGGGGTGGCAGAGCACCACCAGCGCTCAGCTGCTGTGCGCATGCACGGCTGCAGCCGCGGGTCAGCTCCAGGAGGGCGCGTACCGCCGCCGCCACCAACGGAGGGTCCCCGGCGCCCAGGCACGAGGCCACGGGGTGCACTGCACCCTGCTGCACCAGCGCTGCCCGGTGCTGTGTAGTGTCAGCCAGGCAGCGCAGCGCCCGCTCTGCACTCTGCAGGCAGGGGCTGGCCCCCCCGCCCACAGCCAGGGCCACCAGGGGGGGCACTGCACCTGCGGGGAGAGAAGGGGAACAGTTAGGGGCCCCTACATGCCTCAGGACCCCCAAACTGTCCCTTTTAATACCCTCCTTCTTGCCCTAAAAATCCCCCTGGGGACCCCCAAACTGCCCCCTACTCATCACCCCCAACATACCCCATAATCATCAAGCCATTAATAGCCCCCTAACTGCCCCCCCAAGATATCCCCAAATTGCCCTCTATTCACTGATCCTCCCGAGATACCCTCTGGAGAGTCCTATTCATTGCCCCACAAGATGCATCACAACCCTCAAACTGCCCCTGTTAATAGGCCTAGAGCTGTCCCCCAAGATACCCGCTAGGGACCCTCAAATTGCCCCCTACTCATTGTCCCCTCACCAGTCCCAATTTGCCCCCCATTTATGCCCCCCCCAAATACTACAAAACCACCAAGCTGCCCCTACTAATTGCCCCTCCACTTACCCCCTGGGG